AGCCAGTGCTGTCTGAAGATGTCTCCGTGGTCATGTGGCCAGCATGGCTAAACACCAAAGGCACACGGAACGCAATTACCTTCCCACCAAGGTGGTCCCTATTTTTTCTACTTGAATTTACATGCTTTCGAACTGCTAGGTTGGCAGAAGCTGGGACAAATAACAGGAACTCACTCCGTTATGCAGCACTAGGGATTCGAACTTTCTTATCAATAAGCTCAGCGTCTTAGCCACTGAGTCACCGCCTGATAGGTTATATTAGTATTAAACTGTTGTTTTCTTTAAAAACAAAAGCTATTGTAGCTCAGGAGGGAAAGTGATCTGAAATCAAAGCTAACCAAACTGTGCCTACTGAGCAAAAGTCCTGACTGATGGTGTCTTGTACAAACCTGGTACAACACTGAGTAGCCCAGCTATCCAGCCCAGGGTACCAAACATTGAATAGGATCGGAAACCCCAGCAACAAGGATAAGCCTTAGTGTGTTGGGGAGGAGTCTGCCTTGGTTCTTCCATTCAGGTGGCCCAAGGGAGGGGAGGAGGGCTTAACGTCGGTAAGTAAAACGCCTCCTCCCTACAATCTCTTTCCCTCGGGGCTGCAGCTCAGCTGGGGAGGCTGGAGCGCCACTAATTAATTTCGCGCTCCAGAAAAAAAGCAGCGCCCTCCCCTCCAACTCCAGTCTCCACCACGAGGTCCTGGCATCGTTCCCCGCCCTTCCAGTCCCGTGGACATTGGCGTCGCCGGGGCAGGCTCTCTACATGCGCGCGGCGGAGAGTCCCCCGAGTATCCCACGAGAAGGGAACCAAGGCAGCGCGGCCGTGGGGGAAGGAGCAGCGGCAGCAGCAGCTTCGTTGCGCGTCCTGCTGTCTCCTAGCAACCGCGGCGCTTGCACCTGCAACGCCCAGCAAGTAAGGCGCTTCCTCGCACTAACCTTGTCTGTGGCGACGGAGGCGGGCAACGCCCAAGCGGTGGCGGGCGAGGCTGGGACTCCGGAGCACCGCTCGTCCCGCAGCCCGGAGCGCTTCCATCACTAGAAAAGAGAGGAGCCTCGGGCTGGGTCTGTGGACGCTCTACTGGCGGTGGGTGGGACTTCTCTTACGTCGATGCACCTTGCCTTCGGGTAGAGCCAGCACGCATGCGCTGCGATCGAGACCAGGCGACACAGATACAGTAGCTGTCTATTAAGAAGCACCTGGGGAAGTTGTAGTTGCAATTTTTTTGCCCCCCCCCCCTCCAAGGAGATCGGGAAGTAAAAACTGCATATGCGAATCTTGGGAGCAAAATGACAATTTTTAGTGCTGTGATTCGGTAACAGCGAGCAACCGGAGTAGATGGTGGTTGTATTTCACTCGCAGTCTTACCCCATGGAATTTAAAGAAGAGTATAGCACTCAGAACGTGTATCTTGTTCTTATTAAAAAATACAACACTTCCCAAACTAATAATGCGATTGTTATGAACTGGTTTGCTGCCCCAGAATTGGAACATGTCATTTAGGCCACTATTTCTAAAGCAGGTTAACTTTAATACGAGTGGACTTCAACTTTCAGAATTCCCCAGTCAGCAAATGGATTTAGGTCATCAATTCCAACACCTTACTTTGGACAGGATCCTCCTTAAAGCATACTAAAGAGTAGGAGCATTTTTACTCCATTTGAACAAATCCAATGAAGAGGAGACCATCAATTCTGAGTAATTGGTTTCACTATCAAGCTTACTATTAGGATGTTTCCTCACCACC